GAATTCTGATCCTTATCATAAGCCCAGCGCTGCAGAGTGCTACACGTTGATGTGCGACTACAACATGGGCACTGACAGCCAGCTCCAGTGGTAAGGGGTTTCTTCTTCCACTGTTCAATCTTTGATTGTTGCAAAAATAAGTTATCAGCTTTCCCAAGTACAATAACCTCCTCTGAGGCTATCTGGCTAATGTGATTAAAAGGAAGAGAAGTGAGATGCACTTTGACAGCAAAGGGATATAACTGCACGTTCAAACTTCATTTAATGGAAGGAAATGCAACCCTGTCACCAACAATGGTACTCCCTGGAAGTCAGTATTATGAAAAATGCAGGAGGTTTTTGTATCAGTACAAAACCCACCCAGAAAGTTATTATAGTTAAGCTTTTGTTTAATCTACAAAATGCTGACTGAAGACCTGGCATAAAATGGTTACTATCCATGTTTCCAAGATTAAGACACAACAATCAAAGCTGACATAGTATGCCATGGGAAGCTTTTAATACAGCTATTCAGGGAAAATGTGCAAGTCAGTCTCAGACATTGCAAAAATCACTTACACTTCACTAGAACAGGACCAATTCAGAACATCATCATAAGAATTTGACCACTCCACTCTATTATAAAAACGACCTGAAAGATTGTACAAAACCCTTGGCTTGCAATATAAATTTCATTAGGAATACAAGTGCATTTACAATGACACACTGATTTACTCTTTGTCATGACAACTTACACACCACTGTGCCAGGAAAAAAAATAAAATCAACTTCCTGCTTGGTTAAAAAGAAAAGCTTTGGAGACTAAATGACCTGCAAGAAATTTTGTAGAATAGAGCAACAGAAAGAATATAAAATATCAGCTCCTGCTGTTAGACCAGACACTATCTGTACTAAATTCACTAAGCAGAGGGAGGTCTTCTTTCTCTATGTGAATTATTTCTCAAATAACAAGAGACTGTATGATAACATATTTTCTCCATTGGCTTCTTCTAAATTCTGTGTAACTAATTTACCTTAAACATATGCACAGTCAAATTAGCTTCTTTATATCGATGTACATAAAATATATCTTCATTATAGCTTCAGCTGTTTCAGGATTTTCAGCTCTGGGTTTACATCCATATAAAGATGAAATCTGACAGCGTTGTAGAGGGGGAATGTTCCTTAACTCTTAAATATGACTTTACTGTTAGATAGTAAATTGTCTTTATACAGTTTCACACCTAAAGAGATTAAGGAAGTAATTAGACTATCAAATACAAATTAGCTTACACTACCCCCTGGTAACCAGTTCGACGTAGCTAAGATGTTTACGACTCAACTTGTCCTCTGATTTAGACTTGGAGAAATCTATTAATGGTCCCAGGGGAGTGCTAGATATTATCCCTAATGCAATAAAATGCATACCCATAAGCACACTGTATATATTTTGATATTCATGCCATTACATACACAAAGTATGTATGTGACAGCAAGATTTGCTTGGTCTGCAGTGTGTAAATCTCCATAGTGTAACAAACAAAAAAAGGGAAGGTAACTCTTGGCTGCAATAGCAACGTAAAAAGTGAGTCCTAAACAACACTCCTGATTCAGTACCTATGCAAATCACTTTAAAATCATGTACTTGAAATACTAATTTCAGGAGTGTCTGAAATAATACTAGATTCACATGAAGCAAACTACAGCATCAGCTGGAAGTGCTTTAAAGATCAGACTATAAGTAAAAGGCAATAGGAAGTACTAAATGGGAGAAATAAATTACAGGAGAGGAAACCAACCTGTAATTTACTTACAGCAATAAAGTGCTCAGGTAGTGAAATCCTACTGCAGTAGTTCCCAGGAGAACACGGTGTTTATATTAAAAGTCATACTCTCTCTCTCTCTCTCAAAAAAAAAAAAAAACACCAAACACTAAGCACTCTAATTATTATTTTTTTTTAATTAAAAACATTTTTTCCCAATGAAGTAGTTCAAAACCTCATAGGAAAAAGGGTAACAAAAGGTTTTTATTCTGGGGAGGAGGACATGGATAAAACCTCAGCAGCTATTTTTTTGCCTTGAGGTAGTTCTAATGACAGAGCCAGGTGCTCCTCCCCTTAAGCAAAACTCAGCAATTCCACCCACTGCTACCTCATTGCACCATTCCAGTTTAACTTCCTCATGGCTTCTAACCTGCCATTTACTCTTGCAGCTTTTGTATCTTTTTGCTCATTTTACACCAGTGAAACTCTCCTAATCAAGCAAAAAAAAAAAAATCCCCTTTCATTCAGGCATGTCAATCTCTTTTCTTTAACCATTCTCTTCACTCATTTCAATTTTTTTAGTGGTTAAGATGAGAATCATCCAAAACAAAAGAAATGCACTTCACTCCTATGCTGTTTTAGAAAACTATATTTAATGGCATAGATGGAAAGCCTGAAAAGCAAATGGAATAACTCCAGTCACGTACTGTCAGATCTGAAAAATCCCCTATGACAGTAAATTCATCTGCCAACTTTCTTTCTCGTGCTTCCTTCTTCCTCTTCACAGATTTGTCTAGAACAGTAACAGTATGTTTCAAAAGAAGAGTAGAGTAATTAAATTTTCTGACATTTCTTCAGTAAGGCTAATGCAAACCAGATACAAATCAGAATTGCTTTTTGAGGAGATGGCTAATCTATCAACTGTCTTCCATATGGAGCTAGGGCTACTGCAGCTACTCTGACAAGCTGGGGGAATAGACTTTACAAACTGGAGACCACTGATTTCATATTCTTCCTGTGCTGTTTTGAAATCACTTCATCTTCAGCATGTACTTGAGGAAGATACAGTAAGACACAGTCACCTTGAGCTAGGCTGTCATATTATTTGATAGAAAACAGGAACATCAGTAAGTAAAAACAAACAAAAGAAGAGAAAGAAACATGAACTGGACTGATTTGGAAAGACAAACTGGCTGCCATGCAACTATCTGTAAGCCTAGATTCAGACACAAAAGGGAAAAAAAATTATTTGCTGCCTCTCTACATTTTTGTTGGCAAGAATAAAACCAGTCTTTTAAGGATGAGAGATGAGATTAGAAGATGATATATAAAATAAAAAGATTTGTGTGGTCCATGTGCCAGTGCGCTAGCCAAGTCTGGCCCCAGGGCAATGTCTTTTCAGCTGACTGAGCAAATGACTGGCTACTCTGGGGCTGAAAAATGTACTGGAACAGGAGCTGCTAACTCCGGAAGAGAACCTGGAGGCTCTCTGCTGCTCAGCCTCCCCCTCCTCTTTTAAGGCAGGAGTACTGTGACCCCTTCTGAGGCTGCTCAAGCCCTTCCACAGGCTGTGGTGCCTGCTTGGCGCGCTGCTCTCGCTCCTGCTGCAGTAGCAGCCCCAGTGCAGCAGACTCTGTCAGTCCTGCCCAGGTGCTCAAGGGCAGACGCTGCTCCCCTTCTCTCCTCTCACAGGAGCTGGATGCAGTGAATTCTGCAAAGACACATCTCCAGCATAAAGGGCAGGAGGAAACGGGCCTTCTTCAGCCAACACAGGGCTGCTCTGGAGTGTGAGCAGAGCTGAGGATACTGATCCCCCCTTGTGCACACACAGGCATCTAGCAGAGAGGGCCTGAGATTCCTCACTTACTTGATCAGCACTGAGTGACTCCAGCTCTGAAGGGCTGGGCCACAACCAGCCGATGGGGAGATTTCTGAAAATTGCTTCCATTCCTGAACACCAGAAATGCCCCGCAATGAACTGTAAAACACTCAGAACTGTTATAACTTGGAGTATAAGCATCTTCTTTTCTTTCTACACTTTAAATTTTCGTGCCACTATTAGAGAGATATTTTCTGTTCTGCTGGATTTTAGTATTTATAGTAATTAGTGCAAAAATAAATATTTATCTTCTAACAACTTTTCTCTTCTGGATCAAAAGGTGAATGCACATTTAGTACTATACAAAATAAATATTACATGGGGTATGGAAGATGGAGTTCAGATTACAAACTGTAAGCAGACACTGCTTTGAAAAATGCTTTACAGGATTGACTCCAGGATGTAGGATTAGCATAGTCTCTTACTTCAGAGCTAGTAAATGCTGTTTGCAAAATCAATTTCCATAAAAAAGACTTTAAAAGTCTCAACTAATTTTCAGTAAATTTTGTGTACTGATGGAAAGGCATTTACATATTGAGATTTTTCAGATTATGGAATTTGAGGTGTTCCTGCAACTCTAAGCTTACAGCTTTTTATTACATGTGCTGGAGGCAAAAAAACAAGAACATGGCACTTGTGCTACGAGAATATATACATTATTCTTATCCTTTGATAAGGAATGCTTTATACATTCCTCATGCAGCAAAGTGCAACTGTGTCTTATCAGCTGTTATCTAGGTCTGACAGTATTTTTTTTCTCCTGTTGAAAGAAGTTTTTCAGCATTCACCAAAAAAATCAAGACAGTAACATACAGTGCAATATGAAACAAAATAAGATTTTTCCGTCTAGAACTATTGCACATCTCACTGATGTTAATAAGGATTTTTCTTTCTAAATCTAAGAACAGTTATGTGCAACAAGTTAGGTAAAGCTTAGCACTGTCTTATTTGGACATTCACTTTTGTTTCCAGCAAGGTGTTCTCCATACTGCGGTGTAAGGAACAAATGTCAGTGTACTGCTGAAGTCCAGTGAGAGTTTTAAGTTTTGCTTCAAGAGCAGTCAATTGCACAGAGAGGTAAGTGGGGGGAAAAACCCCACAGCTTTTCCCATACTGCAGAGAAGCCTTGAGAAAACATAATTTTATAATAAACATGGTAGCATCACCATGCTTCAGCTGGCATACAGAAGAGAGATTACACTGACTTGAAAATGGAAATCACTTAATTGAGAAAGAAAAATCAAGGTTTAATAGGGTCTACATATTGTAAAGTCTTTTATATAATACAACAGACCCTCCACCTACATGTCACTTCTTGTAGAACTTGTGCCATTACACCAGGTATATCCAAGATTCCAATTTTAATAAAGCAGGCAGCCTCAGGCTTCAGATTCCCTCTTCTTCTTTCCATCTTCTCCTAAATCACTGTCTTCCGACTGGCTACTGCTAAGGACTACAAATTGTCCTTCTCCACTGCTCTGGTTCGGCCTGCTGGAAGCAGCTATCAACCGGCTTTGCTCCTCCAAGTCCTAATTTGAGAAGCAGGGAGGGGTGGGAAATCAGAAAACGAATACTAACTTTAAAGCCATCCACAATTGACTCAGAATACCATTATTATGATTCATAAACTATCTTTTAATACTATCAATGGACAGTTTTCTGTACAGAGGGGGAAAGAGACTGAATAGGAAAGCAAAGCATTTACATTTTGGTGGCTGGCGTTATTAGAACAGCTAACACAGTAACACATCTGTACCTAGAACCCACACAACACAGCGGGTCAGAACAAGCATCTGTCTACAGCCCCTTCCTCACACTGTAACTGTGCCCTCCTCAGCACATGACATTACTCTGGGCCTGTAAGAGGTGTTCCTTCAAGTGCTGCTCTTAACTATCCCTGTAGAGACGTTTTGTGGTTTATCTCCTCAGAAGAGCTCTGTTTAAAAAATGCTATACAAAATCTGCACATGAAATACTTCTAATAATTCACTCAATAATGTTCTATGAACTTGTACTAAAGAATGTGATAGTGGAGCTTGGAGTACAAAGCTGCAAAAGAAAGTAAGTAGAAAAAAAAAAGAATATTAAGAAATAATGATGACATTTACCTTTTCAATTTGTTTTTGTTTATTCAGTTCTTTCTGTTGTTTCTCTTTGACTCTATCTATTTCTTTCTGCTTTTCTGTTGCTTTTCGATCCTGAAGGGCAAAAATGTAAATAAAGTAAGTACACTACTGATTTATATGAGTTGGCTCAAAACTGTTATAACACTGTTTTGATTATTCTTCTTCTAAAGGACTACTATGTTTGCTAAAGTCAGCAAGCTGAATGCTATCTTGACTATTGCTCCACAGTCAGTCTTTTCTTGTCAGGTTCAAATTCTAGAAAACAAATCCCTTAAAATACACCACAACAGCACTACTGTATCTAGAAGCATCTTGCAGACTATTTTCTTTTATACATATTAAATATACTCCCTCCCTTCCATTCACAAGTATCCCTTGCCCCAAAAAGATTCTTACCAGTTCTGCATGAAAAGCTATCTGTTTTGCCAGTCCAACAGAGTCACAGATCTAAACACAAAACAGATTTAAAATAATAAAAAAGTCTCTAATAAAAATGGCTTTAAAATTAAGCCAGATTAAAGCACTTGCGGGTACTTATTCAGGTTTAACTGTATTTTGGTACATAAACAAAATGCTCTCCCCCAGAAATCCCTTAGTTTGAACGGCTCTAACATCTCGGAATCCACGTCAGGTTCAGAACTGATACAAGTAAACCATCACCAATACCTTTTCCCCTTCATTATTTGATTCAAATATATAGCAGACAGAAGTTTGGCGGCTCTCCACTCTCCCTCCTGAAGTTCTAAGCACAAATCCAAAAAGGCGCTTATTCTCCTGGTGTGTAGCATACAGGACTACATTGGGCAAAGGAAACTGCCAAAAGGATTAAATATGGAGATGTTAAAACTAGTTCCAAATATTTTCCATACAAGGTTTCAATACTGCACATTAATTACTTCAATATCATAAATGCACAACCACACCAGAAGTTACAGCCTGACCAAACACGTAATTATGAAACACACACAGTAGATTAGAAGACAAGGATTCAATTATTCAAAAGACAGGACAACTCAAAACACACTCCATGTAACAAGAGGGAACCACATTAGCAATGCCATTCGGTCATCTTTCTAAATGTGAATACACTCCTTTTTTCTTTTCTTTAGAGAGAGACATGATTCATACAAATTGTGTTTGTGACTAAGCTTTCAATATTTGGTGCCAGGTAAAGGCACTACTTCTGCAAAACCTGTTCTGCAATTAGGTCAGCTCTCCTGAATTATATAAGCAAGAAAAAAAACCAAAACCAACCAACCAAAACCCCTAACAAACTACATAACCTCATTTTTTTGTAAAAGTAAAACTATTTTGCATTCTTATTCTTAAAACAGGGTGGGCTTAGAAATTTCAAATGTGTCTTTCCAACCTCACCAAAGGGTAAGTTTTTAAACCCTGAAAGTCCCTACTACAGCTGTTACAAACTGATGGGATGAGTTTTTCCTAACCCTAAATAAATGTACCCCTTTGCAATACGGGACATGCATTCAGTTGCTATATCTCACCTGTAAAAGCTTACAGCTTTGGGGCAGTTTTGAACTTAATGCCACAAAGGTAAAGAAATTAAAAAAGTACTCCTTGAAGTATCAAGACATTTTCACATACTTAGGGTTTCTTTTTATAAAAATGAAAGTAATTCAGAATTCCCAAAAAAACGGAATGTTTTTAAAAGAAATTAAATGACAGAGTATAAATTGTGCATAAAGAAAAAGAGAGAGAAGGGGGAATTAAGCTATAAAAAATAAAGGTTGCTATTACTGAAGAATTAAGCTGGCCGTATTTGACATCCTAAGAATTCCTCTTATTTCTTTCAAGTGCATTTTTTATCAAGAATTAGAAAAAAAAATCCCAAACCAGAAACCATCCACCACTCTCAATGCAATTATGCATTACAAAACAAGAACACCAAACAAAACAAAAAACCCAAACACCAAACTAACCCTTTTGGACTTCAGAACTAATTTGACTCCAACTTTAATGTGACTTCTCTACTAACAATATAAATGTTTATAATCAAACATGTTGTTAAAATGCAATATTCTGTTTTCCTAAGATTTTTAGCCTATGAAATTGATCACTCCCCTGATTTGCTGGTGTTTTCCTGTTTATTTTTAAATGTATGCATTAATCTCCTAATTTCAGTGAAAATTTGTCTGGAAATCTTCTCCTGTCAGTGATTTTTGCTAACATCTAATATTATTTTTAAAGTAGAAGAATTACATTGCTGGGTATTTATCTTAAAATGTAAATTTACTTACTCGTAGTCTTGTAACTTGTGTCTGTGGATCAATTAACCTAAAAATTTGTTTTTAAAAACAAACCAGAAAGTAAATTTTACCAAAATGAAAGAAGATCATTCTGTAAATAAACATCAGTAGAAGTCAGGAAGCAAACTTACTTTAAACAGTCACAAGTGACTAATAAATGTGATTCTGTCATCCTGAATATGTTATGGATGGCACGAGCTGCTAGGATTTGACGCATTGTTTCATAAACGACATCAGGACTTTCATCAGACTTCACCTCCATAGAGCCAAGAAATCTTACAATAAATAACTGATGAAGAATTGAATCTGAGAAAAAGAAAAGTATTGAAAAACATTAATTCCGTTTTGGGTTTTCCACTCCAAACCAAAGATGGACTGCAGTCAGGAAAACTCCACCCTTCTAATCACTTGGAAAGAGATTGCTCATACATATGAACCAGAGGTACAATTACTAAACAGCAAGTCACACATCTTTTCATTGGTTTCATGAATACAAAAGATGCAATGAATTATTTTTAAAACAGGCTTTCAGATGTTATCCTGATTTAACTAAACTTATCTCATACACTGCTAATGTAACTAAGCATTCTAAAACTGGTGTTCAAGTAGAAGACAGAAGCTACAGATGAAAATAGAAAAATAATTTTCAAATTATCTTTTTTATTTTGCATTGAAATAAAATTATTGCTTTACCTTCTGTTTCAGATTTTGAGCCTCCGGATTCACCAAAAGGATTTGTGCGTCTATTAAAAAATGAAAACATTAAACCAGGAGTCAGATTACAAGAACCACTAATGAATAAAGCTGTAGTCTCGTGCTGCATCAAACAAGAACATGTAATGATTTCACAGACTAGTGAGGAATAATCTATGGTAAATCATAAGGACAAGCAATTTACTCAGGAGTTAGACATAAATTGCTATATTTGAGGGCTCAAATTATGTGAAAAATGCCAAATACCATTCTCCTGTTGCTGCCATAAAGAGTTTTGCTCACATGGTATTTTTTTTTTCCTCTATCTGAATTAAGCCCAAAGACAAGACCTTGCTAATATCTGAAAAGGTATAGTTTTAGGGGATGAAATTTCACAGAATAGCTTCAGGATGTACAGCCAAAAGCTAATCCCTTCAGTACTCCATAGGAGCACCACACTTCTCATAACTGTCTCAAGTTGTTGAATTACTTACTGAAGAGAAGTCACTGGTTTTGTTTCAAATGCAGCTTTCTGAAAACATCACAGGGGTATTACTCCTAGAGGGTCAAGAGAAATGTGGCTATTTCTGGCTCTCAAAGACAGAATTGCTATCAGTTACAATGAAAAGTGAAAATACTCTAGGCTTCCAAGTCTATGTTTTTCAAAAGCAGTAAAGCAATGCTGAAAAGAGCAGGGGAAATGGGGAAATTTTATTTAAAACTTCTAAAGAGGAAAACCCCTTTCTCTTTGGCTAATTTGTAGCAGAAAATCTATGGTCAAGGGTTCAATAAGCTTCAAATTAGGTTTTACAGGGGAGTAATAAAGGTGTCACCTCTCAACAGTTAGTGTTCTAAAAGCAAATTTCAGAACTAAGGGAAAAAAAAAATTTCCATCTCTCTTGCTCAGTTACAAGTCATACTGACTGCCAGTTTTATCAGTGAAATCTTTTAACTAGTATAAAGTAATAAAATTGTTCTAGATTGAACTCTGGAGTCATGATTGCATCGCTACAATGTTGAGATAATGTGGACTCAATCAAGAATCATCCCATTAAATGCTGACCTGTGTGAATACACTATAAAGGGAAATCCTCATTTAACATTAGACTGGAACAGTAAATGTCACATCTCACAGGATATTTCAAAAGGCAAAAATAAAATTTAAATATATGTCATCAGTATCAAAAACTAAGGAAAGACTTTTTTTTTTTTTTAGTAATTAATGCTTCTAAAGTAGCATGTTGCCTATCTGTACAAACACTGCAGTTCCTTATTAACAGTGACAGTTAACTGAAAATACTGAGCACAAAATGTCATTTCTGCTATGAAAAATATGATTTTCTAGAATGGAATAACTGATGACATTAATTTAGCTGAAATACTGACCTTTCCACTTCCTGGAATACAGTTCAAGTCTATTTTAAATCAATATATTCTTAAGGATCTAGTTAGCCAACTGATTATCCGGCTACACCAAATAACAAAAAGAAATGTCAAAAAAAAAAAAAAAAGAAGTTGAAGATACAGAATTTTAACTCTTGTATCTGTGAGGTGTAACTGAAAATTCAAGTATTTTTTTAGAGGGTAGGGGGATACAACACATTATTGTGATTAATTAATTTTCAGCTTTTTCCCCTTTTTTTTGTTGTTGTTAGTAGCAGGTGGATCTGCAGAAGTGTTTTCTTAGTATCTGAATTCTGTACATATAGTTCCAGAAATGCAGTACAGATTACAGGTTTTTATTATTATTTTTGAGTGGGAAAAACAAGTAGGAGAAAATAGTTTTATATTCTGGGAAGAGCTCTTGGACAATTTTACCTTGTCTGTATATGAGATTACTCTAGAAGCCTAGATCATTTTCACTCACCTTTCAGGTTAAGAGGAGTGTCATCGTATGCCATCATCACCTGGAGGCAGGGCTACCAAATTTCTCTTGAGTTTCCAAGAGGAAATAACCCAAGCTGCTGGGTGAGCAAGCAATAGGAAAGGAAAATACTTTGTGAAACCAAAAGATTAAAATAAATCAATAAGTAAAAGCATTAGCTGTTAAAGCAAGAAGAGCTGCTGCTAAACAGAAAACTACACCTTGCATCTAGTACATGTAATTAAGCCTTTTTTTTACAACTTTATTTAACAATTTAAAAAATTATTTTGCTTCACTGGCCACTGCAAATTTTGTGACATGAGTCAGGGCGAAGGCAATGTGTGTTTTGGAGCTGTAACCTAAAAGTGGTTTTCTTGTTTGGTTGGTTGGTTTTAAATTAATAATATTAACTTTAGGAATTTTTTTTCCTTCTCTCTGCATTTCCTACCTGCCCGACTGCCCTGAAGATTTTGCTTGACCAGGCAGATCTTCACTAACTGGAGATATTATGTCAAATTGTATAGGAGTGTCAGGGGCAACGAGTGAATCCAAGGAAAGTGCTGATAAAGCTGCTGATTCAGATCCCAGCGACCCTGTGCTGCTAGTACGAGCTGCAGGAGGACGAGATTGTCTAAAAGAAAACAAAAAATCAAAATGAAGGTATCTTAGTTTCAAGTAGGTTAATAATAAATTAAACCATATGGAAAACCAATACAATCACCCAAAACTTGGATGTAAACCAAACCAAACCAAAAAACCTGAAGATCAGAGTATAGTAAACAAAAATGGAGGCTACATTAATTAAGTTAAAGTTATTTACTATTTGCATTAATAATTGCATCAGTTTGTATTATATTTCATATGTGGTTGATGTTAAAACAATCTGAGGTCTGATTCCAGGAGCTGGACACATTAAGAAAAATCTCATTATAAATTTATACGATGCAACCAACAAAACTTCTCTAGTCAGCTGGAAATCTGGATTAATTGTAACAATGGATGCTAAACAATGCTAAAAAGGTGAGTTCAAGAAATGTTCCTCTAACCCATCAAAGAGTTAGTTCTACATATAGAAAGTTTTGGGTTTTTGGGGGGGTTTTTTGTTTTTTTTTTCCCCTGGAACTCTCTTTATAGATGTGCTCTTCAAATGACCTATAGTTCATTAACTTACATGGTTGGCCGCATGCTCTCATGCCTCTGCTGAAAGGAAGGAGATGGAGTAACAGCCTCCAGAGCTGACTGATTTACACGTGCAGCAATTTCCTGCAATAGAGTGATGGGAAAAAACTGAAAACATTTTCCTCAAAATAAGCTTTAAGATTTCAGTTTTATTTGTATGCAATTGACAGAAGTTATAAACTCAACCCTTTGTGAGAATGTTACGTTCCCAAATTTTCACCAACATAGTTGTAGTATTTGCTTCTTACTTGTTACACATTTCCTGCTGTTCACTTTCTGAATTTAAATGAATGCACTTGCTTTGTAACACTGTGAATGTTACTAAAAGCCAGCAATGGACAAAAGGCCCAAGAACAACTCTGACAATAAAGGCAAATGCAGCCAGGAAGAAAAAGAAAAATCTCATTTGAGAAATGCAGTCCTCGGCTACTAACAAAAAACCATGAAGATTCAAAAGTCTGAACTTGAAATTTGGGAAAGAGGATTTTTGGAGTTGATCTCTTTTTAAAATTTTTGTGCATATCCACATCTTATCATGTTACTGATACTATAAATTTTAGTAAAGTTACCTCAGGGTTTTCACTTAGATATATCTGTTTAGATATGTTGTTTATGGTGCATATCCACTGAAAGAGAGAAAAAAGGAAAATTTTACTTTTTCTTTTTTTTTTTTTTTTAAACAAACTTGATTAAAAATACCTGAGTAGACTAGTTTCAGCACTTTTCCCCACTTACTTTGTAACTTCAGGGAGCCAAACCAGTATTCTGCACAGCCACACTGTCATTACATTCACTACTCTCTGCATACTGCACCTTACAGTATCAGATTTTACTTAAAAAGTTGTTTTAGTCACACTGAAGATCAAAACTAAAGCAAGCTTAAATCACAACTCTAAGGAATTTAAAAAAAAAAAAAAAAATCAAGTTTTTCTGTACTCCAGTATTCTGTGACTGCAAATTATATTGTTTCCTCAAAGCACTATAAAGATTCCATCCCCCTTTTGTGGAATTTGCCCATTTCTGGCACCTGTAATCTAGAATCTATTTTCTCCCTGTGCCATGGAAAACCATCTGCTCTTCTGCTTGTTGTTAGGGTTGTCACCTGAGCTATCTAGAAGATGGCACAGCATCTGCAGCCTAAAAAATCACAAATTTGAGCTGCTAAAGCTATCAACTGCCTTCCTCCAGTGAGGCATCTGAGGGCAAATGTTTCAGAGTTAGGCTATTAGATAACCTCAAAAGAGCAAATGAGCCAGGGCCAACCTGACACAGCCCTGCTGAAAACCTTAGTAACAGCATAAAAGGTCATTTGATATCAATGTAACATTGAAGATTGCAGAGGAATTTTAATTCAGGCTAAAAGTACCATATTTTCTATATCTCCTTATGTAGCTGCTTGCCCAAACATATTTGAAGTCAACAGTGCTTTTAAAACATGTTCTTTCCCATCCAGCCCCTTATTGAGAAGTCTATATTGAATAATAATGCAAACAAGCATACTTTTAAAATTAACAAATACTTAATAACACTTAGTACATCTGCTCCTTTGTTTCTGAACAAATCTGAGTGTGTTCATAGACTATGAATGTAATGAATCTATCAGTTTGGCCCATCGCAAGCCCTTGGAAAGCTGTAAAAAGCTGTCCAAATAAAATATAAATTCTAGTAACTAGAACCTGCTTTATTAAACCTACACATGCCTATACCATTAGGCTATTATTTGAAAAAACTGTCACCTCTAGAGGAAGCTGAAAGAAGTGGGGAAAAGATATCCCTGCTGGTTGGGTGTTGGTTTTGGGGTTTTTTCCTATTTCCTTTCCCCACCAATATTTGCTATAACATAAATTTGCTGACTTATTTGAATACTGACATTTCTCAGCTGGTATTCATCCACTGCACAGGCAAGGAGATCTGCATCACCAGACTTAGCAGCCATTTGGAAACCGTGATCACAAACAGTTTTGAAAGCAATCCAAAAGCAAATTATTTCACATTCCTCGATTCAACCTGATCATGGCGTATAAATGTGTTTCCCATCATGCATCAGGGGCACAAAAACAGCTTTTCTCAACTGTCTGTATCATTATCTGTGTCTTAACCTAAGATTTCCTTTATTTTCCATTCCTGACAAGCAGGTAGAAAGAAAGAAGGCTGGGAAAACATGAATAGGAAGAAGAAGAGTATTTGTCAAGATTCCATTACTGCTAGCTATTTTGCTGTAGGCTTCCCCCCCGCCTTGCTTTCTCCCATAATACTGAGAAGGACTTGGTGGCTATCAGAACTGCATTTTGTTCCTCTAGGATTTAAACACAGTAATATTTTTTCAGGCTTCCTGAAACCTGTCATTATAGATAGAATGAGTTAAAAGTTCACTGCTTACCACCTAGAGAACTTAAAATGAGCACTCGAACTATTGTTATGAATTTATTCCTTCTGCACAACAGAAAATCACTGGACTGCATGCGAACCTCCTACAAGCTTACCTCTTCATAATCTTTTTTGCTTTCTGCCTGTAAGATTGAAGACCTGAAAGAGGAGAATAGAAAAGAAAATTTTGTCTATTTAAAATGCCTCACAAGTACGTTGAGACAGGAAACTCCATTTTCACATTTGTACATTGCACAACAAATTAAGAAAGGCTGAATGAAGAGTCTTTGTA